TCTCTCTCTCTCTCTCTCTCTCTCACTCTCCCCGCCTGCTTGAGCGGAGCGAGAGAGAGGCCATTATCTGAGACACAGTGGGCACGTACGTTGGAATGGAGGAGAGTGCAGAAAGGGGGGCTGGTGGGGGAGGCGTAGAGCTCAGCAGACCTGTGCAGCCCCGCTTGCTCTGTCCGTCTCTCTCTCCCTCTCTCTCTCTATCTGAAAAACATGCTCATGGGCATAAATAACACTGGCGTGAATCTTTGTTCATAATTTGGGTTTCTGCGAATGATTTTCAGAGTCGGCCACAGAAGGCAGAAAAAGCGATCTCCGGCCGCAGTCGTATCTAACAGGAAAGCAAAAAAAGAGCGAAAGAAACGCAAAACAGTCCTTGGATGTGGTTTGTGTGAGGTGTATCTTTTTTTGGTCACCGCTTCCCATTTCAAGCGCGTCTCCTTCCTGCTCCTTGGCAACTTTTCAACCGCTCCCAACCTACGGGTCTCCCATCCCTTTCGTTCATGCCTCTGTCCTCCACGATTCCTATCTGCCCGCCGCTCCACCACATCCCCTTTCCGCCCGGGGCCGATGGGCCACGGTGGAGGGCTCGCAGGTTCGGCGCTTGCCGATGTCCTCGGACATCGACGTGGCCACCGATAGGATCTGGTTTTGTAGAGGAGTGCGGTCAAAGTTAGAGCGAAAGTACATGGGCCAGGGAGGACAAGAAGGACGGATGGTGCCGATAAGGGAGGAATGAGGAGCGGGACGAAAAACCGGACGATGGAGCTGGTCAACGAGGGTTACAGAACGGTCAGACGGCACAAGCAAGACATGGAGGAAGAGCCTGGGAAAGAGGCAGGGAGAGAAACGGAAAGCGACAGAAATATATCCGCTCGCAGACAGCGACTGCAAGCTCGTCTCTCTGTTTGGGATTCTGGATCTCATTTTGCGGACTCCATGGTGCGAAGAGGAAGCGGAGCGAGCGAACGGACCGAGGGAGCCACCGCCTGTCTCTGAATGGTCAGCGGAGACCCGAGGAAGAGAGAGCGGCAGACGTGTTTGGGTCTGGGAGCAACAACAACAACAAGGAGAGCAGCACCCAGAAGCCACACAGCTCCCTCATCTCTCGCCCCCTCAACCCGTCTCCCCTCTCCTCTCATCCTGGCTCCTTCTTGTGGCGTCCCTCCGACACAGTCGCCCCTCGGCGCGGCTCTCCTCTCTGCCTTTCCCCCCCGGCACCCTCGTCTTCGCACACGCTGCTTCAGTGCCACTGGATCTTTCTGGATCTCAGAGTTATCTGGAGCGGTGGGTCCTGCGTGTAGGAGATCGCTGGCGGAGCGAAGCAGATAAGCGGGCATCACTCCCCTCTCTGGCTGCCGTCTTTTCCTGCAGGTTTGGCAGCCTCACGTTTGGTCCCCCGCCCCACAGCCTTACGCATGATACTCCACCCCCTCCCCCCTAACACGAGCAGCCCCAAAACAAGAGACACGCCACTGGCTAAGTCCACGGCACAGCACCGAGCTGCAGGATGAGGTGCGTTACGTAAGACGGCAGCGAGAGCCAGAGGGAGTGGGGGGGGGGGGGGGGGGGCACAGGAGGCTCAGAAAGTGGATAGTAGTGACATTACCCTCACGTCACGAAAATCTGACATCATCCCCTCAAACCCACACCCCCCCACTGTGACCACCCCAAGAACCGGACAGGGGTGGGCGGATGGGTCACATGACATAGTGTGTGTGGGAGCCCCCTCCACTCCTCGCTCGCTCACTCACTCGCACCCTCTCGCTCTCCTCCTCCCTCTCTTTGTCAATGACACAGCGTTTCTTGTGAAGAGCGCCAGTTTAACCCATCTCTGCCCAGCTTTGCCTCCCGCTTACCGGATTAGTGACATCGGCGGATGGGAAGGGGTGGGAATGCCGGACCGGAGAGCTGATAGCAGAGAGTTTCTGAGTGCAGGCAGGTTCCGGATGAAGCAGACAGTCCTACAGGGCAGGCAGTCACGAGAATGCCAGATGTAGGGACATGCCAGGCTGGTTGACTGGGGGGCCACACCACAAAGATGGACAGTGGCCTTCTACATTGAGCTCCCCCCCCCCAACTGACTCCATACATTCCTTACCCACCTTGCCCATCCCCATGTTCTGGCTAACCCTGGGACTCATGGCAGCCCAATACCAGATGCTCCCCCGAACAACCAGGTAATACTGAGGAAACTGCAGCCACCTTCTTTCAGGGGTGGCATGCCCACTGATGCTACATCACCCCCTTATGGCAGGCAAAAGCAGAGTGCTCCTGTCGCCACTCCCCCCCCCCCCCCGCATCGCATGTCTCACCTTAGTCAGGCGGCTTGCTCTGGCGGCAAGGTTGCTTAGGCAACCATGACGATGTGCAACCGGAGACCCAGGAGGTAAATTCATGTGGCGAAGGCCCAGGACACCAACTTCTCCCAAAGCAGCGTGACAAAGACCACAAACCCAGCAAGCAGGACCCGTGATCAGGCAGCCAAACAGACAACAGAGCCACCTGGGCTCCTGTTTCACATGGGGGTCACACTCTCTTCTGTGTCCGTGGTACCAGAGAGGTCCGCCAGCCCGGGTGAGAGACCCCACACACACACGTGCACACACACACTGGCACACGCACTGAGACCGATTCCTCAGGAGGGAGAGTCAAAAAGCAGCTTCCACTGTAGGAGGGATGACAGACAACTGAGAACACAGCCTGGACTATGTGTTCACCTCTCCACACTCCGCCATGAGTCATCTCTCTTACCCCACCCACACACACACACCACCACACAAACAGGCAAGTACTAGCACACTCACAAACACACGCGCAGACACACAAACAGGCAAATACTGACTCACAGACATACACACCCTAAAACACTCTGAAACTGTAACACACTCTGGCACTCACACAACAATACACACGCAGAATACACACAGAATAAACATATATTCACACACAGAGTGAATACACACAGTAGATACAATAGAAACACACAGGGTGGATATACACAAAGACATTAAACACACATTCACAGTGAACACACTCTCACACAGTGAATACACAAACTGTAACTACCAGCAGACCCAATTAACACACACACTCACAAAATCAATACAAACACATATACACACAATATATTTTCACACAGTGAACACACTCTTATGCAATAAATACACACAATGAGTATACTCTCACACAGTGAACACACTTTTACACAATACATACAAAGTGAGTATACTCTCCCACAGTGAACACACTTTTACACAATACATACAAAGTGAATATACTCTCATACAGTGAATACACACATAGTGAATACACTCATACAATAAATACACACAGTGAGTATACTCTCACACAATGAACACACCATGAATATACTTTCACACTGTGAACATACTTTTACACAATGAATACACACACAGTGAACACACTCTAATAGAATAAATTCACAGCGAGAATATACTCTCACACAGCAAACACACTTTTGCACAATACACAACGAATATACTCTCACACAGTGAACACACTCTTACGCTATTAATACACGTCCACACAATGAACACACATTTTTTTTTACAATGAATATTCTCAGACACACACACTCAGACATTGAGGGACAGCCTGCACAGAGACACACTGTAAGAAGTCACACCAAGCTGGATTGTTAATGCACACAAACAAACAGTACTGCCGATTAAAATAAATGCAGCGTCACACACAGAGGAGTTCCCATGACAGCCAGGGGGACGCTGACATTTCGGGGGGGATTTCCTCTGTGAATTTTTATTGAAGCATTGGGTGTGATTAACCACCGACCCCCAAGCTGAGTAATGACTATGCTCCTGCAGACATTCTGGGGCACCGACACCTCATCCCACGTGTTGGATCTTTGAGCTCACCCAACGCCTTTCAGGTTCAGTGAGAGGGCGTTTGGACCCAGGGACTTGACATGGGGGTAAAAAGGAAGGTCCGACAAGCAGAGCAATCCTTCACTGACACATCCCCAGAGCCCCAAAAGGTCTGAATCCCCCACTGCCACCAGCCCTCAAAGGCCCATCTGGGCAAACATCATCAAAACCTGCGCCTCTGACACACGCACCTGCGGTTAGCTCAGAACCAGGACCGCAGGCATCCGGGGACTTATTTGTGAATGAAGCTCACGAGTTCATGCAGAAACAGAAACCTTGTGACCTTAGCTATGCTAATCCAAGGGAAGGGTTATTAACATGGGTGTGGAGTGCAACACACGCCTGTAGAATGTGCATTCTCTTTGTTTGTCTCCCCTTCTGCTGTCCTTCCCTCCTTACAGAGGACCCCGCGAGCCGTGCTCTGCTACGGGGTATCCACTGTGTCATAACTCCTCCCGGTGCCCCTCGCACCCCCCTCCCCGACACGCGGCACGTGCAAGTCAGCACGCAGAGCCCAGCTGCGAGGGGGCCCCAGCCGCACAAAGGGAGAGAGCGAGCAG